TCTGCTGCGTTTTCCCTTTACAAACTGCTCACATGATTTCATTAAAGAACAGTTGAATATATTAGATTACATCAAAACTGGATCCTCTTCAGGTCAGTTTACAGGAGAAACTCTTACTTTGTGTCTGAGGATCCAGGTTCATTACTGAAGTTTATAAGACGACCCATAGACCGCTCACTCTTCAGAGACAGACCGCTGGAGACTGAAGATGTGTCCTCTTCCTTTAGATCACTCATCTTCTCCAGTCTGACACACACACACACACACACACACACACACACACACACACACACACACACACACACACACACACACACACACACACACACACACACACACACACACACACACACACACACACACACACACACACACACACACACACACACACACACACACACACACACACACACACACACACACACACACACACACACACACACACACACACCTTAATAATAAACATGACATCAGTCAGACTTCAGACAGGCCGTTCTCCATTTTGACTGCGCTGGGCTGTCACATGTTATGTAACTCTGATGAATCAGAAAACAGGAAATAATAAAAGTGTACAACACTTGCAGAAGTCTCATTGGACTCTAGGACGCAGATTGTTAACCAATACGTTATTTTCTGACATCCAGTTTGACAGAGTAAATAATACACACTCACCCTGTTGTTCTCCTCGTGTCGAGCTGTAAAATGGCATATGGCAGTCTGCCTTCCGACTTTCACTTTCAACTTCCCTCCCTGTCTGCAGCTCCTCCCTCTGATTCATAACCAGCCTCACCAGCTGAAGCAGTTCACATACAGGGACTTTGTTCAGTGAGATAGAAAAAGACATGCAGCTAAAAACAAGCTCAACAAAGTTATCAAAAGGACACAACATCCACACATCAGCGTCCATAGGATATAATTAAATCTGCTTTATAACAAACAATGAACAGCGACTTAAATAAAAACACAAGGCTAAATTTAACTAATTTACAAGATGTGCCAGAATCAGGGCTGAAATAGAGATTTCACCTCTAGCAAGTGTTTTAAATAGGAGGAAAAGTGTTTTAAATAGGGGCAGAGAAAAAGGAGAGAATCAGGCTGCAGCACCTCACTGAAAAGTGTTTTAAATAGGAGGAAAGTGTTCAGGGATGCTCAAATTCGTGTTCATGCAGCCCCTAAATAATGGTAATACTGATTAAAAATCATTTCTAGGGCAGAAAGTATTTTAAAAGTGAGTACAACTATTTTAAATGGCTTAAAAAGCAGTGCAGTTCCAAGTTTCCCCACAGGAGGGCTCTAGGAAGCGCATCACCCGACATGAGCACAGTGCATTAACAGCAGAAAATACGATAAGTAAAGGCAAATCAATTGATTTAAAGTGCAGGGAGGCTCCGCACCAGACACAGGTACATTCCTACATCCCCACAATAGTGACACTGATGGTTTAAAGTCGTTTCTGCGGGGGAAAGAGTGCTAAAAGTCTGATAACAGTCTGATAACAGTGTGGTAAAAGTCTGATTGTTTCAGAGACCCATGCCATGATACAATAAACCATTTAAATCTAAAAGTATTGATTACAATTCATTTTTATGGGGAAAAGTGCAGATGAGGTATTTTTGGTATTTTGGGCAAAACACTTCACCCAACCCTGTATGTATATATTGTAGTGATCACTTGTCACTGGGTTACATAATCCAATCATGGAACTACAGGTTGGGGGTACTGTTTCCGCACGGACATATATGTTGTTGGTATATATATACTGTGTCCTCCTTCCTTTCGCTTTCTCTTGTCTTCTAGTGATGGGAATTCCGGCTCTTCTTGGTGAGCCGGATCATTTGGCTCGGCTCACCAAGAAGAGCCGGCTCTTTCGGCTCCCAAACGGCTCTTCAGTTTACCACATATTATACCTTTTATAATTCAATCAAATGTAGCCCTGTTTTGACTAATGATTTATATGTGCACACATATCACTTAAATTATTCAATACATCCTTTGTACTGAAGTATTCAAAAGTAAAAATTACATGTTTAATATCAATTATTTGCTGCATGTGGCCAATTGTTTTCATTGCATTTACAGACCCTTGTATCTCTCTGATACCACCCAATGAATGCACAGACTTGCTTGTAGAACCACGCTACACAAAGCAGATTGCAACACCTATAAAAACTTAAGCATAGACATTTAAAAAAAGGGGCTACTGTATCGACATTTTAAAATTATATTTAAAGAAAAGGCCCTGACAAAACAGCAGGGCTCTATTTCAGTATTAACTATAGAAAAAAAGACAGCAACAGCTGACATCAAATCTTTGCTGAGCCCAGGGATAATCATAAATAAATAACATAGTGAAAATAAATATATTGCAATGCTCAGTACAGCAGCATCCAACCGTCTCTAATCATAAAAAAACATAATACAAATAAATGTATTGCAATGCTCAAAACAGCAGCATCCAACAGTCTCTAATCCTTGGATATGTCATGCCACTGCATGCATGCACGGAGCAGCTGTAGCGCGGAGATCATCATATCATTCTGTCTTGTATTACTTAACAAAAAATAACAAAAACAAAAAAACGGCTCGTTCGCGGGCGCGAGCCGGCTCCCGTCGTTCACTTAAAAGAGCCGGCTCTTTGAGCCGGCTCGTTCGCGACCGACACATCACTATTGTCTTCCCGGGCTGCGACCCGACAACAACATGTGCGTTTCTGCTGCTCATTAAAGCTAACTTCGTACCTTCATTGCACCGCCTCCGACTCCCTTCTCTCGGCACTACAATATATATATATATATATATATATGCCGTTAAAAAACGTGTATATTTTGTAAATTGTATAACTTTTTTTTTACTTTAAAGTGGACCTATCATGCTATATTTAAATGATATATTGTAGGGCCATACCTATATAAGGTATATTTATACGTTTCTGTTTTCAAAATACCAAACAGATCATGCATTTTAGCCATGCCTCATTTCGCTCTATGTGCTGTTTGCTGTCTACGGGTCTGATTCTGCTGACCACGCCCCCCTGCAGGAGAGGGGAGACGTGCTCTGATCAGCTGCTGGGCTGTCAGAAGAGGGGGAGAAAAAGAGATCTCCGTCCTCCGTGTTTTATTATATCGAGTCGTTATTCATTTGTTTTAAAGCTCAATAAATAACAAAGAAGACCTTTGACCGGCACTTTTCTAATTTTGACCGGCGAAAGAAACTGAAACTGAAACTCTGCCGCACGGTCCCCTCGTTCCTTGGAAGAGGCGGAGAGGTGGGTGTTTGTCATCTGCTGGTGGACTAACCGGAGGGAATTACAGTGCTTGCCTCGACGGTGAGGGATTGCATTGAATTAAAGCAGCGGGAGCAAACGCTTGCCTCGGGGAGGGAGAAAAAAAGCCACAGCGGAGAATAAACAGAAGGGTAACCATGGTAACTATGGGCGGGAAGTCTTCTTCGCTGTTTTTGTGGCAGACTACAGCGCCACTTACAGGCCTGGCATATGTACTACAGCGTCTCCAGCGCTTTCGAGCGGCAATGGCCGGCCGTGGCCCAACCCCACATTCCCCTGATAGGTGGAGAGTTGGCCCAATAGCCGTAGCGCCACTTCTGTGACGACATAGATCTGTATCAGATCCGTTGCAGCCCCTTTTTTAGAGATTTGGGTATGGAGGAAAATAGAGAGGGTTGTGTTTTCTGACACTTGGTGAGTTCCCTGGAACACCGGGGACACATATTCATGTATAAAAGACGTACAAAAGTGCATTTTGCATGATAGGTCCCCTTTAAATAGTTTTTTTTGCATGTAACATTATGTAACATTAAGCTGTCAGTGGCTCTTTTCTGCTGTAACAACGTAAATGTCCCCTCTGTGGGACTAATAAAGGTTTTCTGATTCTGATTTGATTCTGAACTATACGATGCTCAACAGCTCGCTTAACGGAACTTTGACGCTGGTATCAGTTTGGTTTCCCACCAATCACGGGAGTATTGTGTATAGAAAGTGTTGAGTTATATTTCTCGCGCTACCTTACATCCATGAAGGCAACATGACAGAGGGAGGGCTGTCACTCAGGATGCAAAACTACTCTTTGGTAAGCCCCGCCCCCCCCAAGCAACATCAGGGCCAAAAGTTTGAAAGCGAAAAAAACGGTGAAACCTGAAAAAACAAGATTTGAAACTGAAAAAATAATTGTTTGGAATCCGAAAACGGAAAAACTGCAACTGAAAAAAAGGAGGATTCAAATGTCAAAATATGTATAAAAGGAGTGGAGCTGTCTTTTTATGAAAAGTAATTAAGCTCGCTCCGACTTCTTTCTCTTTTTTTTATCGAAAAAAGCTAACTATTCAGTCAGCAATTTATTATAAAAGTAAAGCAAGTACAATTTCAAGCATGCACTTTAACCAAAATTCAAGCACTTTAACCAAAATTCAAGCACTTTATCCAAAATCCAAGCACTTTTCAAACCTTGAAAACACCACATGAAATTTCAAGCATTTTCAAGGATTTCCAGCACCCGTACGAACAATTTCAAGCACTTTAACCAAAATTCAAGCACTTTAACCAAAATTCAAGCACTTTATCCAAAATCCAAGCACTTTTCAAACCTTGAAAACACCACATGAAATTTCAAGCATTTTCAAGGATTTCCAGCACCCGTACGAACCCTGTTCACTATAAATCTTAAAGAATCATACAATGTTATGACTTTTCATGATATTTTGGACACACAGTACTATGAACATTCTTCATGTTTTTGGCCAGACTAAACCTTTTACTTTTTCCATGATATTTTCAACACACCTTACTTACTTATTTTTTTTATTTAAACTGACTACACACAAGTCTAAACATCTCCAACACTGGCTGTTAGTGTTAAAGATGGCTGTTAGTTTAAGAAGAACTAGAACTTATCTGAGATGAGTACGCATTTGAAACACATTTTTATAAAGATAACCATTGCTGAATATTCTAACGCCCCGTGTAAAGACTCTCACTTCGGTTTGACTCATTTCTCTTTTATTTGAAATGCAACAGCAGGTTTGACACCATGCAGCCATGTTGTCTGCAGGGTGTCTTTGAGCAACACATTGATCAGTTTGACTTTAAGTCCTTGTGGAGTTTGATGATCTCTCTCCTGCATGCCGGTACAGGGCGTAGGAAGGACTTCTCTCTTCTCCCCTCCAACAATATCACAAAACACATCTGATGTCAAAACGAATGAAAGTCATTTTGTAAACATAATAATTATACATTCAAATTAAATCAGAGTACTTCGAAAACAAACGATTGCACATTAAAAACCAAAGCTGGAGTAGAAATAACACATTTTTGGCATCTGTTTTGAACCGGTGATGTCATGTGGATCATTTTAATCTACTGAAACAGAGAGGAAACAGATCCAAAGTCAGCTGAGCACAATGTAAAAACCTTATAATGATAACATGTATTAAGAAAGCCTTTACCAGCTGATCTGGACACAGTTTGTTCCTCAAGATGACAGAAACCTCTGACAAAGTATCTAACTATTTAAGTGACTGGGTTTTTAACACACTATTTTAACTGTTTGCTGAATTTTTTTTTTAGACATGTTTGTAAAAAAAAAACGGTCTAACATTATCTCCTGACTGGATAACTTCCCAAAGTGTGTCAGGGTTTATCCATTAGGCATCTTTCCATAAGTGCTACTGCTTTAAGAGTGCTCTTCTTTTTGACATTAGTTGAAACAAATTATCAAAACTGCTATGGGTGAATTGTAATATTTCAGAAGCTGCAACCAGTGCATTCTTAACATCTTTGCTTAACATTAAATATGTATAAACTTGTTTCAGAACACAATTGACTAATCAGTTAAAAACCTCGTGATTTAAAGTCTAAATATGAGGGTGTTTGTAACCCTGCACAGTGGAAGAGGCTGGAGTTAAACAATGTTATTGTCAGAAACATCAGAAACTGAGGCAAAACACATACATTCTTACCCCAAGTAAGAAATGTCGTATTAATATGGGCCACAGTGTGTGTTTGATACCAGAGGGAGGCACCTCCAGGTTGATCTGCTGCTTGTTCCACATCAGCTCCTCAGGCTTCCTTATCGTTTAAGATTCTGTATTTAGAAACGATGGCAGTGTGTGAATGGTAAACATAGACTCCAGGTTTCAGCAGGTCAGAAAGCTGACGGTCGATATCACAGAAGTCACAGTCGAGGTGTGATGTTAGCTAGCACACAAACACCCATAAACAAACACACACACACACACACACACTTGTGAGCAGTTTGAGCGTTGAGCTGTTCAGGCACTTGTTCCCAAGGCTTCCTTTGGGCTCCTCTGATCACACTAATAGCAAAGTGATCGACCAGGAGATGACAAACAAGTGACGGTTTATTAACGAGCAAACTGAGGACTGCTGCTTCCAGACAGAGTTCATTGTAGCTGCGTGGAATAATAGCTATCAAACAACGACCTAACATACTGACTGTAAAGCTGACTGACTAATTTATTAGAGTCTGTTTCATTAAGTCTGTTACCAAATGTGCGACATGTTGTTTTATGTTATGCTAATAGCTAAGGCTGCGCTCAGATTAAAAGACAGTCCTGATAATGGAAAAGTAATTATTATTAAACATATAAATAAACATACTATACAATGAGAAATGTGCAACCTACTGTATGTCCTGATTAGCAGGGAAGAAAATGAATATAGCATAGTATTAAGATGTTTTGCGTGAACATATTATATAGGCAAGTATTTTTATTGTATTTAAATTATTAATACTGCAAATACAAATTAAACTTTTTTGGTAACAAGTGCTTTTACAGTTTACTACATGGTGGTTATTCTGTACATTTTCTTTCAGATCCGATTGGCAGAAATTGATTTAAAACAAAGATGAAATCAAATTAAAATATTGCACGAAACCTTTATCTTATTCGATAAAACAGCTGTTGACAAACTGCATATTTTGCAGTTGAAAAAAGTATATAAATAGCATTATATGTTATTGGTTTGGATATGGGACACAGTGTCTTTTATGATAATACCACTGGGTGGCGCTGAACCACAATAACTCAGTTTGCCTTTTATTTGTCCAAATTCAGATTCTGTGGCCATATCACAAGTTATGTATCATCACAATACAATGGTGCTGTACAATATTGTATCATGAGGACTCTGGCTAGTGAAGACATGTGAAAAACACTGGTTCAATAATATAACTCGATGAAAAATCCTTTCAAAAGTCCTGAAATCTGAGCACAGCCTTACACGATGTTCTTCACTAAGTGTGCATTTAAGTCTTGAAGTCATGAAGCTCTCATGAAATTAAAAGAAATCTGAGAAATGATCCAAATATTTCAGACATATTTTGAGAACACAGACCCGCGTCCAGTCATTCTCTTTTGACACTTCTTTAAAAACTTAAAATAATTATAATAATAATAATATCTTTCCAGTATTAAATAATCTTATATAAAAACACACACACAAAAGTTTGAAAGAAATGGCAATGCTACCCCCCCACCAACCCCTTTCCCTCCCCGAGTCTCTATACACACCTTCCCACAATCCTCTCTGATTCCCCTGACCCCCCCCTTCGTCCTCCATGCAGTACCGGTTTCTGAGCAGAACATTGTCTCTGCTGCTCTGTCCTTCAAGTCTTTTGTATATTTCGATGCAAAGCTGCACGGACATTGTGAAAAAAGCTTGATAGGGTGATCTTCTGGCTTGCTTGTATACAGATATATATACATATATATAGATATTTGTACTCATGTAATGATAGGTAATGATACTAATAATGAGGATAATAGGAACAATCATATCATGATCTCAGGAAAAGACGGCTTGCTACTTGTTCGGGAATCCAATGCGTGGATGGTTTCAGGATGAGGAGAAGACGGACAAGTCAACACACACATCGATTATTTCTTCTTCCTAAATAGTCACTTTTTTTTTAAGCTCCGCCCCTACCACTCCCCCGTCAGTTTGGTGCTTTGGTCCCGTTTCGGAGGAGCGGGGGGGGGGGCCGCGCCGCAGCGTTGCATAGCCTGAGATGTTGGCGTGTTTGGTGGAGTGGGAGTGTGTGTGGTGGCGAGAGAGAGTTTGGGAGTGTCCTCGAACGCCCCCCTGCTGCTGCATGAGCTCCGGGGGGGGAGGAGGAAGGAGCGCCATGTCGTCCATGGTGCCCACGGGAGAGGAGAAGGAGAGGTGGGAGGAGGTGAGGGATCCGTGGCGAGACACCGACTTCCTCTTCAGGGTGCGGTTCAGGTCCTCCAGGAAGTGGGGTTTCAGCGTCAGGCTGCTCGGGCCCGGGGATTTGGGCGATGTGGGAGGTATGGGGGAGGAGGAGGAAGTGGAGTAAGAAGACAGGGAGGGAGGCGGGGTTTGAGACAGAGGGGGAGGCGAGAGGGGGGTGTTTTCAAACTGGTTGGTTTTGCTGGCCCTCCGGTTCAGAGAGGGAGGCAGGATCGCCCCCTTCTTCAGAGAGCTCTGCTTCCAGGAGGTGGAGGAGACGGGCTGCATCTGAGGCTGAGGGTTCACCACGGCCACTTTGGGGGGGTGGTGGAACTCCGAGGGGTGAGGAGGGGGAGGGAACAACTCAAAGTCACTCGGGGGCGGCGGGAAGTAGTCCAAGTCGAGGTGCTGAGGCTGGGCGGGGGGCGGCGGGGGAGGAGGGGAGGGGAACTCTGCGGGCTGGAGACCTTGAAGCGCCAACGGGAGATTCGCCAAATTCAGTTTCCCAGGTTTGGGAAGAGGAGCGGGAAGCGAAGAGGAGGAAGAGCAGGAGTCCTTGGAAGGAGACCCGGTGGCCGAGGAAGAGCTGGAGGAGGTTCCTGTCTGAGGGGCTTGTTGGCCGAACTTATTGACGAGGGTCTCCACTTTCGTCGGCCTCTCTTCAGCCGGGTCGCCGGTGGAGTTGCGCTGGATGGAGGAGGCTCTCTGCGGGGCGGGGGGCCCACGCTTGATGGAGGAAGAGGACGAGGAAGAGGGCGACTTTTTAATGGGCGATCCGGTCTTTGAGGAAGAGGATGATGATGAAGACGGAGGAGGAGGGAAATCTCCCGAGTTGTCCAGAGGAGGAGGGGGAGGGAACTCTGGAGATAGTGGAGCCACGACGCCTCCACCCCCCCCCGGCTGCCATTTTGGTTTGGCTTTGACCGCCGGGGGAGACGGGGGGGCCGAGAACTTGGATCCCTCCATGGAGCTGGAGGCGGACAGAGTGGAAGGGGAGGAGTTTCCCGGGAACTGATTGACGATCTGTTTGACCAATGAGGAGGTGGCGGCCGCGATGGACACCGAGGAAGAAGAGGAAGAGGGAGAGAGGGTGAGGTTTTTGGAGGAGACGCTGTGCTGCTTTGGAAGAGTAGGGGGCGGCTGATTGGGGGAGTGTCCCGTGGAGAAGCTCTGCTGCTTTTTAAACGGCGGCTGGTTGCTGTACGGCTGCGTGGGAGACACGGGGGAGAGGGCGATGGGAAGGGAGGAAGGACCTGATGGTTTGGGAGCAGTTTGAGGGGGGAAACCACCCGTGAAGGTTTTGGGAGGAGCGGGAGGGGGTGGGTTCGGGGAGAGAGGCCTTAGAGAGAGGGAGGCTGGGGGGGAAACCTCAGCAGGAGGAGGGGGAGGAGGGGGAGAATCCTCCAACATATCCGGGGTGAAGTCGTACACCATGTGGGGAAACTTGTGCGACAGGAACTGCTGGAGGCCGCTGTTTGTGAGGGGGGAGGAGTCTAATTCTGGTGGGGGAGGCAGGCTGAAACCATTCATGCTCTCTGGGGGAGGAGGAGGGGGCAGGTAGGCGGGCTCTAGCAAGTCCTCGTCCAATGGGGGTGGAGGAGGAAGGAGAGAAGAAGGGCTCGGCGGACCGAATTTCAGAGCGGCCATTGCTGATCCGGGTGTTGGCTCTGAGGGTGGGGGAGGAGGGGGGGGACACGGGAGGAGGGGGGTGGAGGAGCTGTACACGGCGGGGAGGGTGTTGTAATTGGGCTTCGCTGATTGGTTCTGGCTCTGGAGGCGGGCCAAGGTGCTGTATTTGACGTAGGAAGGGGTGGAGGATGACGTCTGATGGTCCACACTGGCGATGGGAGGGGGAGACGGAGGGGGAGGAGAGGGGGGAGACGGAGAGGAGTCCTCTGATTGGACGAGGCCTTCTGTGTAGCTGGAGCGGGAGGGAGGGGGCTGAGGGGAGAGGATCTGCACCGGGATGGGCCTACTGATGGGGTCGATCCTCATCATCTGGAGAGGAGAAGAGAGGAGAGGAAGAGAGGGGAGGAAACAAGAGAGGAAGAGAAGGAAGCAAGAGAGGGATGAGGGAGGGATAGTGAGACACAAGAGAAGGGAGGAAGAGAAACAAAATTACAACAAGTAAAAGACAAGTGTAGCATTATCATGAAAACAATCCAAGACAAGATGCAGGAACCAAACAGCAAACAGTGCAGTGTGAGAACACACACATTGAAACTCAGCATAAGATCAATTATAATTAAAACACTAAACCTTATCACCCGTCCTCTGTCCTACACCTGACCCCTAAACACCTAACGCAATGTTTTTCAACAACCAAACATGTACAAAATGACCCATTGTAGCCTGATATAGTTGTTTTGAAGTGACTGGTGTTAGGAGCTTTATACACACAGTCTATGTGTATATAAAGCTTGATGGGTCCATGGCACTGTTGGATAGCTTTCCCCCACACACCAAGCAGAACCATTCAAAGGCAACTTTTGCTGCTTCGAGCTCAACGGTTTTTTATTTTATTTTGACCACCGCTCATATTAGGCTCTACATCTGGGTTCGACTTGTGTCCAGGACCCAGTTCAGAGTCTTCTTGAGTATTTATCCATCGCTGTTTATCTTGTCAACCTCTCCCGAGTAGTATTTAATAACTTAGCCAGTCACTACATTGCAGACTGAGACGCTCAACAATGGCAAACTAAACTAACTAAATCATATATTTGTGTACCAATTAAGTCAAATTAGACAATTTCCCACGGCACACCTGACGAACTCTCCTGACACACTGGTGAACCACAGCATGCTGGTTGAAGATCACTGACCTAAGCCAAGGGATGGACTTTATATATGTATTAGAGCTCTGTCAACTGTTGCTGCACCACCATGGGCAATCTGAAGGAGTACAGTGGATTGTCTGAGGTCAGTCTATCTATCAGTCCATTTTCTTATTCAAATCATTGTCCCTTATCATTTAAAACATTTCCTAACTGTTTTTGAAATGTTGTCAAACATATTCTAAACTGTGTCTGCTGATATATCATTAGCATTAGTGGTTCAGGATAGGTGTAAATCTAAATCATTACCAGTGCAGACAATAAAGTACTATGTATATACTCGTATTTTAGACTCTGTTACTAACTGTATATCTGTAGACTTGGTATGTCTTAAATGTCCGGTTAGGATGTATTAGAACGAAATCTAAAATGAAAATTGTAATTAAGCCATCTGTATGTAAAAACCACCTGTATGTAAATTGTAAATAAGTCATCTGTATGTCAAATATGTCTTATATGTCTTAAATGATATGATGAATTGGAAATGGGGGACCCTGATGTAAACAAGACGAAAGTCTTTCTCTGGTCTGCATCCCCTTAACAATTGTATGTTTTGAGCTGGACTGTACTGTACCCAATATACAAGCTGTTAATAAACTTTTCAATCAATCAATCAATCAATCAATCAAAGAGGTGTTGTAATGGCTACTTTTCAGTCCATTAATCCTGTCTGTTTCTTCAGTGTCGGTAATAAACTGACTAAATATGAAGCTTGTAGGTGTCTGTGTACACCTGGTTGCAAACTGTATCTTAAAATGGACAACATTTGTGAACCAATGTGTTCAACTATTTGAAGCCCAAACAGTGTATTTGTGTTAAATAATGTGTATGTTAGGTCATTCCTTCACACCACAAAGTTAGAACAAATCAACAGTTCAGCTGCAGCCATTTAAAAACAGGGACATACTGTACATCAGGCACGGTTACAAAAAACTGATTGTAGATTTTCTTTCTCTGATGAAAACAACCGTAAGTCCTAATCCTTCCTGATCCAATGTACACACTCAGTAGTTGTAAACACAGACAATAAGTAATAAGCAACTTCAGAGAAACAGGTACGTTTCAAGCAGCTTGTTTACTACATGTGGGGTGTTTTACTCTTCAGACGGTTTCTTCACAGATCTTGTTGTGAGCAGTTTCACGTAGGAACTATTTTCATGAACCTAACCACACCCCTTGTCCAGGAATAAGTGTGCATCTTCTCATAGATGAGAGTCTCTCCGGAGCTAGCTAAGCTATTAATGCTCACATCTCCTCATGCCACAACACTCTCCACAAGCTCAAAGTCATTATACCTTCTGATCAATAATAAGACAGATCCAGATCCACACTGAAGCATCATCACAAACATGTGAGTGTTTTAAAGGCTGCAGCCAAACTGTTAACATGCCTGTGACATCACTTCCTGTCTAACCTCCGCTCCCTCCTCCTCCTGCACAAAGAGGAACTGCCATTCGTCCCTTCACCTTTGACCGCTGGCAGGGAAGCAGAGATGGGAAATGTAGTCCACAAGTAAACAGGACAATGACAGAGGACAGGGCAGTGTGTGTGTGTGTGTGTGTGTGTGTGTGTGTGTGTGTGTGTGTGTTCACACCTCTCCCTGCGTTCCTTTCCTCCAGGCGTCGGAGAATATCGAGCTCACGGCACTCTGAGAGCGGGCGTGACCGGATGATGTCATCTCTGAAACGCCGCTGTCTGATTGGCTGGAGTGGTTGGACTGGGACTCTGAGTGGACACACGGGGAAAGTACATTTTGTTTGAATTGTTGATGCTAATTGTGGTTTATTTATACAAGGATAAAGTTAATGTTGAGAAATGGTGTGGAACATTTTTGCAGAATTTAGTTTACAACTGAATTTTCACAAAAACACATAGAAATAGCGCATTAGAACAGGTCGTAACAAATGATAGTCATAGTAAATTAAAAAAGTCAATATATAGTAGGCTATATAATAAAGAAGTTGGAGATTGTATTGCTACGAAAAAGTCGGGAAAATTCTAATTACAGTATAGTATGACTTTTTAAGTAAACGTATGCAAAATTGGACGCAAAACAAGTCGAATTTTAAATCCATGTCTGTTCAAAATGTCATTACTTTATCATTTTTATCCCAAAAGTCAACTGTGTGAAATTGTCCAAATAACCAAATAATTGTTGAGCTATGGCTAAAAAGGCCCCAGTGACTTTGAGCTCTGAACGCCAAATTCTAATCAGTTAATTGAGTGGATGCTTGTGAGAATTCTTGAAAGAAATCCCTCAAAGTTTTCCTTAAAAATAGCATTCTGGAAAATGGGACAGAAGGACAGACAACCCGAAAACATAAAGCCTGGTGCTGAGGCATGAAGATGGAATATTAGACTGATAATGATGTGGAACAGATCAGGAGGACGGACCTGGAAGACTGGACGAGCTGGATCCTGATTTGATGGAGGAGGAGGAGAGGGAGGACCAATCGTAGGCCGCCTCCGTCCTCCTCATCGCCTCCTGGAAGTTAATGTACAGCTGCTTCCCGTACTGACACACACACACACACACACACACACACACACACACACAGAGAGAGGCAACATTAACATGACAATAAACACATGAATTGCATTGCAGTAGTTCAATATGTCAAGGTTTTAATAGTAGTGCAGGTTTAGCAGAATAAACAGAGTGCATCACAGAGAGTTTTATTTTCTATGACAGGAGAAATGTTGTTACCTTGGCGATTCGGATGCTGTTGATCCACTGATGGAGCGTCCTGATGTCGTCACAGCAGAGGTACTTAATGTACTGAGACTTCTTCTGGATCTGAGGGTGCTACACACGCACACGCACGCACGCACGCACACGCACACACACACACACACACACACACACACACACACACACACACACACACACACACACACACACACACACACACACACACACACACACTGTATTACATGTAGTGTTGTAACTTTCACTTTTTAAACAAGATAACGACAACGATGACAAAAAAACTGGGATTTATTTATCTTGAATTGTTCCTAACTTCAGTGGATTTTCTTATTTATGAATGTCAGTTTATTAAACCAGGACAAAGGCCAAAAGTCCGGCCTGATTAGGTTGCTTGTTTTAGTCTCTCAGACAGCTGAAAAAAGCTGTTGAAATTCTCTCGCAATCCCTACCTGCCGGATAAGAGTGAGCAGTGAGTGACGGAGCAAAACTAGGGCTTCAAATTAACATTATATTTCATTATTATAATCTGCCAATTGTTTTTCTAGATTAATCGTTTGATCCCATTTTCTTTAAACCTGCGTTCTACATATCTCTTGTTGTGTCAATCAGTAACCTAAAGATATTCACATCAATATGATATAAAACTGAGAAAATCAGTAAATCTATAAATATGAGAGGCTGAAAATGTAGCTTTTTTAGCATTTTCAAAAATTGGGAATCACTGAAAAGAGGTCCTTGAACATAAAGAATAAAGGCTGCTAATGGGCCCAGTATGCCTGATGAAGACAAACACATTATTGTGGTATTTATTGTAGCATCTGTCTCTGCTTTGAAGTAGGTGTCATTACTGACTCCTACCAATAGGTGGCATCAGGAGATCACAGAGCCATAAACCAGAGAGTAGTAATTGATCCCAAAGTCCCTCCTGTGTGTATCTGCATGTTTCCGTGTGTGACGTACCTTCAGCACCATGCAGTAGTCAGATGGAGCTTTGTACTTGCTCTTGTAGTCCTGACCGCTGTACACATTAACATGATCCAACTGCAGGAAACACACCAGGTCTCTGGACGCCTGCACACACACACACACACACACATTTAATTAAAAAAGAATACAGACAGTTTAGTAGGTTTAAACCCTAATAATAAATCAGGGCTTTTTAAAAGTAGGTCAATAACACAAAAACAGCTGCTCTCACACCTCCCCCAAAAAATGTTAAAAAAAACACACAGAAAATGTAAATGTGCACACACTCATACAAGGATATTAACAAACACACACACACACACACACACACACACACACACACACACACACACACACACACACACACACACACACACACACACACACACACACACACACACACACACACACACACACACACACACACACACACACACACACACACACACACACACACACCCACACACACACACACAGACACACACACACACACACACACACACACACACACACACACACACACACACCTTGGCCTTTCCCTTGGGAACATAGTAGATTCCAGACGCTCGGAGCAGGAAGTAGCGTTTCTTCCACGACTTCTTCCCGTCCTCCTTCAGCCACAACACGCCCTCCATCTCAGGGACGGACACCGTGCTGCCGCCGAAACACTCCTGACACACACACACAAAAAAACACACACACACACACACAAAGAGACATGAGATGCTTGTTATCGCTTGTTCAGTTTCAGTGTGCAAAACATGCTATCAAAGTTTTTATAAAGAGCTTCTTAAAATAAACAAAATGACAATATGTGATGTTTGTTGTGGGTATAAAGGGGTTCTGCAAACTTTATTATCATCAATTGCATTTATATCAAAGATTAAAATGTGATTATAAAGGTTTTGAGAGTCTAGAAATGGTGGTTTAGTGATGAATCCTGTAGTTAACAGAATTAAATGGGCACTCCAGTATTGCTATAATTGGTAGCTCAATGTGAACATGCATCATTTAGTTTTGAGTAATACCAACGATAGCTGTTATTCTAAAGCCTGTTTCGGGTCTGAAGCTTCAGGGTTTCTGCAGGATTGCTGGGTGAAGATGCATGCGAGGAAGCAGCTATGTGGTGCAGGAGGAGAAAACAAACTAACCTCCAACAGAGCCTCTTTGTTCCTCTCAGCCATCTCACATGTCTCCTTCCGCCCCAGCAAATAGTTCTGCAGCAGACGAGCAGGAGAGATAGAGAGACGAGGCGTTAGCAACATAAAAAAACATTTGTATCATTTCATTAAACCGTCCGTCTCCACTGTGTGTGTGTGTGTGTGTGTGTGTGTGTGTGTGTGTGTGTGTGTGTGTGTGTGTGTGTGTGTGTGTGTGGATCTCACCTGGGGGTTTTTGAACACGGCGTACTTCTCGATGCGTTCGGTGAACATCAGGCGGTTCTGGCTGTCTCTGGTCCAGTTCAGAAGGTTCTCCACCAGGTTCTCATGGTCCTCGAAGATCCGCTCTGCACACAGGGGATCACATGTTTGAGTTCATTTTGGGTTGATTAAGGGAAAAACAAAGATAATCAGAAAATACAGCCTGTTATTTACACTTTGAAACAAGATGATGCTGTCATTTACTGGTTTTATTGTGTCCTTGAAGGGGTCTAAACTCTGTTGATGTTTGAATATCCAAAAGAATAACACCAAGAGAAGAACTCAAACTGCAACCACATGAGCCCTGTCGTAACACATTTGACACTAAATACTTAACACTTTTGTAATCCACAAATATAACTTTGGGCCTGTTGAAGTTTTGGATTAAAGATAATTTCCCTGATCCTTTTGCTGTGTGAGGAGCTCTCTAAACTTTCAATTTGAAAAGAGGAAAAAGCAGATACCACAAGTCATCTTTTAACTATACATTCTCATTTGAAGGTGTTCTTTTTGTTATGATAACTTCAGTTTTTAGCAAAAAAAGAAAAGTTTACATATGATATTATTGTTTTATGTTCGACATTTTTTTGTAAATGATGTTTGGTTGGACTTTTGGGCCTTAATACCCGTGCAGGATATGGCGCGTGGCGGTCTGCTGCCCTAAAATAAAACACCGTCCTCTGAAGACCGGACCAAACCATTCAGCTGTGACCCAGATTTATGGACAGATCTGTTGACCTCACTAACACTAAGTGCTTTTTTAATTTTGGGGCAACGTGTGTTCTAAGTATCTTCAAGTTTAGGTAAGATGTGGTTTCACTCCTAAAAAATGACTCTTATATACCTGAGCGTTCACACACAGGTTTATGATAATCCTAAGTATCATATTATTTTATAAGTAATATGTCCGGCTACATAGAATTGCCACAGATTTCACATCAATACGGTACCGTTATTAGGATTAAACATCATATTTGTTCTATAGGTGTTACACAGTAATGTACATGATAAAAAAAGGGTATTATTGAGATGTTTTTAGATAGTTTTGAGAAAACAGCACTTTAAAATGTAACTATTATTCTTTCTCATTTGTGCATTTTGTGTTCTGTTCAACGTTCAACTTGTTCATTGAAAAGGAAATTGGAAATAATGTCCTTTATCTTTTACTTGAACACATTCTTGTGTTTTGGCAGACTACCTAAAGCAACATAAATGCAGAAAGCACACTTTAATATTGGTTTTATGTATCGCAAGTATTTTAGTTATTACGATATTCAACAATGACACTTATCATACGTGTTCCTCATAGTATATAGCGCTAACACTTTAATAGCAATTACAATACTAAGAAATAATACATACACTGGTTAATAGCCAAGTAATCATGAGGAACAAACATTGTTTTGATTCATGTGTTGGTCATTTGGAAATGCATGGGAAAGGAATACTTATAATAGTATAAATAACACAAGAATATAAACATTATAACAAAACAAACCGCTGCTTATACTACTAGTATTATTAATGTTAAAAATGGCTCTTCTTCTTATGATCATCATTTCTACAGTATGTGCCATTCTGTCATTTCCCATAGGGAATAAGAGGTCAGAGAAAGTCAGTGTATTGCCCAAGGGCACTCAGCACTGGTGTTGCTGGTGTGCACGTGTGTGTGTGTGTGTGTGTGTGTGTGTGGGTGTGTGTATGTGTGTGTGTGTGTGTGCAGTGAAAGAGTTATTCCATAATGATCACAGGTTCCAATTTAAATCTTCCTCAGGACAAATGCTGGCCCTAATCCCAGGTTTTTTAGGAACCCAGGTGGAGTGTGTGTAATGTGTGTGTGTGTGTGTTTGTGTGTGTGTGTGTGTGAGAGTGTAAATGAGGAAATGTTAAGGTTAGCAACACTGCACCTTCTCTCTCTCTTTCATAACGCTGACTGTCTGTCCAGCAGAAGCCCTCAAGATGTAGGTTAGATCACACACATCACTGCACCGGACCTACATAAAGACTGTGTGTGTGTGTGTTTGTGTGTGTGTGTGTGTGTGTGTGTGTGTGTGTGTGTGTGTGTGTGTGTGTGTGTGTGTGTGTGTGTGTGTGTGTGTGTGTGTGTGTGTGTCAAACAGTGTTAAGTGGAGTTGAAGCATGTTGTACAGTGTGTGCTGGCAAACGCAGAAGACACCCCCCCAAGGGAAGTGTGTGTGTGTGTGTGTGTGCGCTTGTGTGCGTGTGTGTGAGTGAGTGCGTGTGTACGTGTGTGTGTGTGTGTGTATGTGTGTGTGTGTCGACTACGTCTTTCTGGCTGAATATCTGTGCTGTCTCAAAGCATAATGTAACGAACAAATTGACTCAACTATAACCTTTCCTCGACACACACACACACACACGTTTTGGCGGCACATGAAAGCTCTTTGACATCAATTTTGAATGTATATATTGTTATTTCAATAAATTCTTACATTTCTACACTCAACATATTTCGCACAATTGGGAGTTATTCCTTGTTTTTGCTTGGCTCTAAATGACAGAGGGGGTCATATGCTGTACAGATTATAAAACACCCTGAGACCAATGGCTCACTTGTGATATTTGCTGTCCAGTATAAATAAAATGGGATTGATTGAATTAAATGTGTTGCAATAGTGCAGACATAAACAGATCAGTCAGTATTTGGAGCCATTACAGCGTTTCATGTCAATCCCGCCTAAAGCTAGTTAATCCAGTTACATTTAGATTAATTATTAATGTAATCATCATCATCTGAACCTCTACTCACTCTGGGCCAGTGATATAAATATCTCTATGGATCACTACTTCATGGACAGTACAGCGATTTAATCATGCACAGATCTTCATAAACACGCAAGTGCTGCTCAGTGTGTGTGTGTGTGTGTGTGTGTGTGTGTGTGTGTGTGTGTGTGTGTGTGTGTGTGTGTGTGTGTGTGTGTGTGTGTGTGTGTGTGTGTGTGTGTGTGTGTGTGTGTGTGTGTGTGTGTGTGTGTGTGCTCACCCATCTGCAGCTCGTTGATGGTCTCCACCAGGGACCAGTCTGGACTGAAACCACAGTGCGATTTCTCCAACAAACTGTCCAAAACCTGAACAACAGAAGAGACTGTGAGCATTCACTACATCTATCCCTACTGATGACATATCATAAGAATAATAACTTTATCAACAAAGCATCTTAAAATACAGGGTTTACAAAAAGTGTTTTCACAGCCAAAGCAACAAGCAGAAAAAAGAGGCGAACAAGAATGACAAAAACCTGTGAAAGAGAAAAGCAAGCAATACTAAAGCAAAACATGAAACTACAGCTACTAAAGTACTTTTACAGTTAATAACGTTGTTACGGCGTCTGCTTATGCAACTGCAAAGACAGGTGTACTACTACTACAACATCTAATGACATTACTACCAATGCTGCTATTGTAGTAATAATCCACATGTTAATAACACAACTATTCCATCGGTCCTCCATAGAGTGCCACAGTGACGCGTCCTAAAACCCGGAAGTAAGTTAGCATTTTACCACGTCCGGTTCCTTCGACAAAAAGCAATGCAATTTCTCCATAGGGGTTTGGAAAATAGCTGGAACTAAGGTCTGTGGTTGAGACACATTTAAGAGACGGATCACGTTTTGTTCTACGCCATTAAATCCATCAGCAGTGACCCCACTGGTGATTTCTGAAGAGTTTACGTGTCTGAAAAACAATGGTTGTTAACAAGTGGCTGAATAGGACTACAGAAGTTGTCGAGGCCGTTGTACGTCATTACACCGAACACGTAAACACTCCTCTAAGTTTGTTTGCCCTGTTCTGCTTGAAAGCAAGTACCTGCCTCCTGCAAACTGTTCAAACAAACGCTTCAACTTGAACCATTTAGAATCTGTAGTTTTGAATATGGATCTTAAGTTGGCGTGACGTTGAAGCAGCGACCCTGCTGTAGTTCCTTTATAGCATAACGTTAGCATTTTGCTTCTGGCGATTAGATTTATGATTAGAAAATGTTAAAGTAGGGTAGACATGTGGAGATTATCCAGCTGAACAAAACGTGATCCGTCTCTTAAATGTGTCTCAACCACAGACCTTATTTCCAGCTATTTTCCTAAATCCTATGGAGAAATCTCATTGCGTTTTTGTCGAAGGAACCGGAAGGAGTTTACTTCCGGGTTTTAGGACGCGTCACTGCGGCACTCTATTGGACTCCTTTTTCGCTTCCTGAACATAGCGACATTACTAAGTAACACTAGCGCTTCTATTGGCTAGCGCTCCAACACATGGTACGTGACAGGCTAAGGGGCGGGACATCTCTAAGCGATGTTTACCTGTCTGACTGTCTGTCTCTCGTCCACCATCATCGTCTTCGAGCTCTCGTCTGACAGATGAACACGAATCACCAACTATGAAGAGAGAGAAAGGACAGAAGATTATTATCTTCATCGTAGGATAAAACAAGTCATGTTCAATTCATGATACTGATTGTTTGCATCAATAATAGGATAGGGATAGTGGTGGTCTAATGGATAGTGAGGTGGGCTGAAGATCGGAAGGTTGTGAGTTCAAATCCCGCCTGGAACACCACCACTAGTGTGGCCTTGAGTAAGGCACTTAGTCCTTAGTTACTCCGGGGAGAATGTCCCTGTAATTGGTCATTGTAAGTCGCTTTGGATAAAAGCGTCAGCTAAATGAAATGTAATGTAATAATCCAGTTGTTCAGTTGACAACATAATAGCATTTTGTTGTTTTCTCATCAAATTAAATGGAGCTACTATGTGGCTGAAAGGCTCATTGAGAGTACATCATGACATATTTAAACTACATGACTTTGAATAATCTAGAGAAGGAAGTACTGTAGTACTGAACCAGTTTTGCTTGTACAGTAAGGGAGTAATAATACATAATGATATGTCCCAGTACAAGTACTTATACACACCACAATTATCTAAAATAACAGACAAGCTAGAGGCTTAAGTATACAGTTATATCATACTGAATATGTTATTTTTATTTTTTAAAGTACTATGCATGTGTAGATGTTTTTTATATATTATTATACAAACAATAAAAAACTATACGTAAAATGCACAATTTCTACACAACTTGATTCCTGATTGATCACTTGTCTTTGGACCTTTGGTTCTTTTATGTATTTTTTTGTTTGTCAACCATGCCCTTAGTTTGAATTCATTTAATGAACACTGATTTGATGTGCCTTTTTCTGATGTATTTGCATCATTGTTCAATAAAGAGGCCATTGTAATGTAAAAGCCAAAAGCCAGTAAGAGATACCTTTGGTTTTTCTGCACAACTAAACAACCAACCACAAAATGATCCACTGTCTAATTCATATTTCATCAAGTGTGTGTGTGTGTGTGTGTGTGTGTGAGTAAGTGAGTGTGTGAACTGTGTGTGTGCGAGTGTGTGTGTGTGTGTGTGTGTGAGTGTGTGTGTGTGTGTGAAGTGTGTGTGTGTGTGTGTGGTGTTGCGTGTGTGTGTGTGTGTGTGTGTGTGTGTGTGTGGTGTTTTCTTAGTTTACTTGTGGGTGGTGTGTGTGCGCGGTGTTGGTTGTGTGTGTGTTCGTGTGTGGTGTGTGTGTGCACTTGTGTGTGTGGTGTGGTGCTGTGTGTGTTGGTGTGTGTGTGTACGTTGTGCGTGTGTGTGTGTGGTGTGTTGTGTGTGTGTGTGTTGTGTGTGTGTCGTGTGTGTGTGTGTGAGTGTGTGTGTGTGTGTGTGTGTGTGTGTGTGTGGTGTGTGTGTGTGTGTGTGTGTGTGTGCGTGTGTGTGTGTGTGTGTGTGTGTGTGTGTGTGTGTGCGTGTGTACGTGTGTGTGTGTGTGTGTGTGTGTGTGTGTGTGTGTGTGTGCGTGTGTACGTGTGTGCGTGTGTGTGTGCAGCGAGACCCACTGTCACTTTTTTAGGGATTTGTTTTGGATCATCATACAGACGTTCAGTCAGGTAGCGGGTGGTCTGTCTCAGTGTGTAATAAATCCAGGTTGTTAATCCCCCCCACTCTCTCTCTCTCTGTGGGATTGGGACTTAACTTGCAGTGGTCATTATGCTGAGTGCTGAGTGCTCAGTATGTGTGTGTGTGTGTGTGTGTGTGTGTGTGTGTGTGTGTGTGTGTGTTGACCCCAGCTTTTATTGACCAGAGCTTTTCATGTGGAGTCACACTGACCTGACCCAGAAAACGGAGTCCGCTGGACACGTGCCAGACACCAGCACATGCATACAGTCACACACACTTACTACACACACACATACATACTACACACACACACACACTACATATAATTCTGGAGCATGTTTTTCTCTTGTGTGTGTGAACCAGACTCACCTTTTTAACCTGCGCCTCCTTGATCTTCTCCAGAGCGACCCGGATGTTATCTGCCTTCAGCTTGGCAGCCTGCTCCTCCTGTACACACACACACACACACATTGATGACACCGGTAAAACAGTATTGACAGACACATTCCTGCACGCCGGGTTAAAGAGGCACAACATGCCCAACCTACCTGAGGTCTCCAACAAGCATTCATTACGATTTCTTTGTTGATTTCCCTCAAAACAACCAATACTTCTGTGTCTGCTTAGAAATACAATCTACAACATATGAGTGTAAAAAATCCCATTTTCTATCGGAAGAGTTTGAAAAAAGGTCTCATAGTATTCCAAGTTGTTCCACATTACTCCTGCGTCCTTAGGCTCTTCTTACAGATGGATGTGTATCATGTAATGAATGAATGAAGAGCGGAAGCAAACCGATGTAAAAGCAGATTATTCCACAAAACAGCGTCCCAAAGTTAGTCCCAACAACAGAGAGGAAACATCATGTTCGGTCCTGAGTGCAAAACATGCTTCTCCTCCTCCTCCTCTTCATCATCATCATGCCGGTATTATTGTGCTCGCAGGGAAATGGGATTGGGTTATTCCTCGGACGCTACATGGTGGTATTCTCTCTCTGAAGGATAATCCAACTTTTGTGAACACACACACACACACACACACACACACACACAAGTGGTGGAAATGGCAGCGTCTCTCTGTCAAACTAGAAGATGGAGCTGTGAGAAACTAAATCACAGCTTCTGTTTGATCCTGCACGAACACCCGACTTGTCAACCTTCAATAGAGCCAAGGAAGTCAGCTGTGAGGAAAACAAACAGCAGAAGGATGCATGAAGGAAGTGTTAGAGAGTCTTAAATCCAGCTGAGCCGAGTGCAGGCGCTAACACAACATCCGCAAGCAAAAATAAGAGTAGAAAAAAGCAACACAAGCGTAATAAAAAGAGGAGAATTTGTAATAAATCTGTTGGCAGGTTGAGTTATCCACAGACTCAGATTGTCTCAGTGATCAGACAGGAACGCCTGGTTAGCGCTGCCGCTCTGACTAGCTGCTGAATCAAAGTGAAGGATGCTACCTTCTCCTGTCACATCCTGCCTGTCCGAGCGAGAGCAGCGAATGAGAGGAGAGAGAGAGGTGGAGATGGACGCTGGTGGGGGAGGGGTGTTTATTTGATTTTTTTGCTGTGCCAACTTACATGCAGAGGCAATGATCTCTTTATCTCAGGCTCTCATGCCCCCTCCTCTCAGTTTGCCCTCATCTCACTCCGTAATTCCCTCGCTGTCTTTTTACTCAAACACTCCGTCTCTGAAGGCCATTTTAGGGATTTTTCCAGTCACTTCACAATGTCTCTGAATGCCCTAACAGAGGTGCTCCACTTTAGCCAGTCAGATCACACACACACACACACGGATCCGTATTGTGAATGAGCAAAAGGGCAGAATGAAATGAAGATGATGGGGGACGACGATGAGGAGATTAGCAGACAATCTCCTCATCGGCACCCACTAAAACCCCCAGATGTGTGTGTGTACACACACACACACACACACACACACACACACACACACACACACACACACACACACACACACACACACACACACACACACACACACACACACACACACACACACACACACACACACACACACACACACACACACACACACACACACACACACACACACACACACACACACACACACACACACACACGTTTAAGCTCTTAAACAGCTTCATAATGACCAGCCTATGTTTTGTTGGTCAGGATCAACGCCTGAGGCTTTACATTAAAAGCACTTTTATCCAATGTACTGAAATACAAAGTGAACAGAAAAACATCAAAATATGTCAGAATATCATTTTCAAGAATTTATTTGAATCACTCATTAGGTATAGAATTATAATAGACTTGACACATATTTAGTTTTGTCTAGCATTAGTGGTGCATGCGCTGTGTGTGTGCAGAAAAAGAAATAATAATATAGATAATTCTGTGTCAAAAATATATAAATGCGTACAGAGCGCTAACTGTCAGCTACCATTTAGTCTGACAAAAAAATATACTGTATGTATATTCAGGGTTCATACACTTTTTCACCAATGATTTTCAATAACTTTCCATGACCTTTACCTAATTTTCCATGACCAAAGAAATGACTCTTTCTCAGCGGTACCACTGAAAATGGTTTATTTTAACATGGAACAGGAAAATAAGGTCTGCATATGAAACATGTTGGTCCTATCTAAAACAAATCAAATAGTGGGCTTACTAGCTTCTACACGCTAAAGCAACTAAAATCTCTCACCAGCAAAATACCTCGTCAGTTAAATGCCATTTTACGTTTCATTACGATACAGTATTTATTATCATTATAGTATTACTATTTCGGCGATTAGATAAAATATAAATTATATTTGATGCAACTTTAGTTACATTTCCATGACTTTTCCAAAAACTTTGGGAAAAATAGTGTTTTCCATAACTTTTCCAGGGCCTGGAATTAGCATTTTGAATTTCAATGACTTTTCCAGGTTTTTAATGACCGTAAGAACCCTGTATATTGTTACTGTGGGTGTTAGCAATTATAATGGGAGACGTTTAAAAGACAGGGGGAAAAAGCATAATTTCTACTGTGAAAGCAGGATACAGTGCAAGACTGATTATATACTTAGTCACAAAAATAAAAAATAAATCTAGCGGGGACAATTGAATTAGACGCTAGATAAGTACTCGTTATGCACATTAAACGGACTTTAATCAATATAAAAATATAAGAGTAAATGTAGAATAAAGCATTCAATTTGACAAATGATAACATATATCATGTTGATCATTTAAACTAAGGTGTAACTTTTGAAAATAACTATAATAAATTATTTGTTAGTGTTAGATTGTTACAACGTGAATCAGAGGTAGCCAAGGCATTTTGTAACCCCTGTCATATTGCATTATTCTGTTTTACGTCAATTAACATTTTAATAACGGACACACTGTCAGATCTAATTATCATCAGTCATCATCATCAGTCATCAGTCATCATCATCATCATCATCAACATAGAGGTTATCATGACATTTGGTCAAATAAGATTCCCTTCAAAGAGACAAACCCATCTTATTATTATCCAATACTTAATTTCATAACAAGATGTGCTTCTTAAAATGATATCACATTCTGGTAAGCTGCTACTCTAATGCTAAACAAAGCAACAAATAGTTAATAATGTTAGCAATAGTTAAGCCATTGGACAGTTGATTAATTTGCCTTTTAAAGGATAAATTACACCCATTTTTGTCTCAAATGTGAATTGCAATATAATATTAAATGTCATCTGCATAACTGCGTTTCGTTTGTATATCTTAATACTATGCAAGCATATTTTATTTAAAATACTGAGTTTAATTATTAATGATGGTGTGATGTAAATGGTAGTAAGAATACATGAATAATTAATGAAGTTTTTCTTTCACTTAAATAATCCCTCTATCTTTTCAGAAAACATTGAAACCATCTGATAATCCATTCATTCAATCCATTGATCTTAAATCTGTTTTTATTGGCATCAATTTGCATTTGGATATAACAATCCTCAGTTTCTCTAAGACCGTATCACGTTCTTTTGCAGTTTTCTTATTCTGCCTTCCAACACAGACGCCAGGGTTTGTCTTTCCCTCCCACCACTGTCGTCATCTCCATCTTGCAGGATAAACGTTTTCTCTGCGTCTCATAGAAATTCAGATGACCTACATTACAAAATTAGATTCTGCCGAGGAACCATCCAGCTGCCTTTGAAGTCATAAGGAATGTGTCCCTCATGAGCCTCCGTAGCTTTAAACCAGAGCGGACTGATGTGTCTTATAGAGAGGCAGCAGAAGTGGGCCATCAGTGTGTGTGTGTGTGTGTGTGTGTGTGTGTGTGTGTGTGTGTGTGTGTGTGTGGGTGGACTGCATTTATTGCTGAGGCAGTGTAACAGTGACACAGAAAGAATCTGCTACACACATACTATAGTACTGCATGCAAGCAGCCTTACATGCAATACATAGTACAGTATAAAAAAATGTATTTACACATTTGCGCACATCTGTTCTGTAAAAGCCAAGTGCACGAGGGGAATAATTACACCCTCAGCCTAATCACTGCTGCAGGAATTAGACCGGCCCCGTAGCTTGTAATCTCGAGGCCTTTTTCCTAATCTGGGACGACAATTTAAAAACAAATCACGTTTTTTTTTAGGGCATTTTATTCCAAGTCTCAGTTAAGGCTCATTTAGGAAACACTTTAAGATGATGAGAGTGGTTTCCTTAGCTTCCTTTACAGCAGTTACATCTGGATTTAAAGCCAACATCAGCTGCTAGAAGATAAATTGATTTTATTAATACAATATTAATCTGACTACATTTACTTAATTTAGACCCAGTAGGCCTTGAATGATGTCATTATATATGTGTCATCATATGCTGCTATTACTAAAAATAGGTCAAATACATTGGAATAGTGAGAAAGTCGAATTTGATAATTCAGGGATATCTGTTAGATTATATATATAATTATGAGATATAATGATATAATCTGACTCTCTAAGGTTTAGGTCGATATTTATATTTGTTATCTCCACAGGCTGATAAAATGAGGAGGACTTGGAACAGATTTGTCCATCTGTTTGCTGCCGTTATAAAGACATCTAAAGCCCAAAACACTAAACAAGACAGCCCATTGCCTGCCAGCCTGTGTCTGTGCGTGCGTGTGCGCGCGTGTGTGTGTGTGTGTGTGTGTGTGTGTGTGTGTGTGTGCGCGTGTGTGCGTGAACACGTGTTTGTATACATAATGCTACGGGGAATCACTTCTCTCTCTCTGCACCAAAGAAGATTATCCCTGCAGATCTGGCACATTCCTCTAACATCCAATCAAAGGGCCTCATCTGCTTTTTCATCCAATCAAATCATGACATTGCTGATCCAATCAGAATAAAGCCCTTCTTACTAACTCTCCATCTAATGCCCACACACACACACACACAAATGAAACATTGCCCTCAGCCATTAAGAAGCCTACAGCTTTAGCTTAAGAGCAGCAGAGACTCTGATGAATTTACAGACACACATTATCAAGAGTTATCAAACTTTTTAAGAGCGTCCATGTTCAATATGAGAGGTGGAAGAAGTGCTCAGACCCTTTACTTAAGTACAAGTCAAATTACTATGGTCCTGAAATACCCCATAATAAGGGAAAGTCCTGAATTCAAAATACACTATAGTAGAGGGACAGAAGTATAATCAGCTCGTTGTACTTAAAGTAAAAGTACTTGAAGTGCAGGAAGGCACTTTTAACAGTATAATATTATTATAGAATATAATGATATACAGATTTGTATCAATAGCTAATACAAGTAAGAACATGTTGATGTGTTTGTCAATGTGGTGCCAATTTTGTCGTTAAGTATTGGAGTGGGCACGGGACTCCCAATCCTTATTTCCTTTGTATTTCCATTTGTATAATTTGTATTTGATTATGTGATTACATTCCACCATCATGTAGTATGGCAGCAACAATGCAATACTTAAAGGGGACCTATCATGCAAAATGCACTTTTGTACGTCTTGTATACATGAATATGTGTCCCCGGTGTTCCAGGGAACTCACCAAGTGTCAGAAAACACAACCCTCTCTATTTTCCTCCATACCCAAATCTCTAAAAAAGGGGCTGCAACGGATCTGATAAAAACTGATCCAGATTTGAACACTGTCCTGATGTTAGGACGGTGGCGCTACGGCTATTGGCCCAACTCCACCAATCAGGAGGAGACAGACACGGCCATTGCCGTTCGAAAGCCCTGGAGACGCTGTAGTACATATGCCAGGCCTGTAGGTGGTGCTGTTCTCACAAATCTGCCCCTGCACAAACAGAGCTATAAATTGTCAAATTGAGCAAAATGAGGCATGGCTAAAATGCATGATCTGTTTGGTATTTTGAAAAAAAAAAGTATAAATATGCCTTATATAGGTATGGTCCTACACTATATTATTATAATATAGCATGATAGGTCCACTTTAAATGAATAGTGGTGGCATTGATGAACTGTATATATATATACTGTCTGAATGAAAGTCAGTATTTGACAACCTTCAAACTGAAAAAAAACCACACAAATAACCTTTAAATTGCATCTAATTCGACGATAAATGAATTATTTGTTAAATGAATTATAAGCATTCCCTGGTTATCTTTGTCTTATCTGATGGTAAACTGAACTTTTTTTTTTTTTTTAAGATGGTTTAAGCACTTGACCTTTTTGACATGACCCATTAAACCTCCTAAAAAAAATGTGCAAATGTGATTCGGTCTTTCTGAGCTTTTACAACCAGAGCTTGGTAACGGCTGATCCCCACCAGCCTGCTGATCTGGGTTAAACAACAACAACAACACAAACAAAAACACATTTACAGTAGCAGCTAGTCCCATTATCTGCATTGATTAGAGTTAGCTAGCATCAGGCTCATCCGCTAAGCTCCATTACTGCAACTGGATCAGCTCCAAATGCTCATTACCAAGAGGGACAAAACAAAGCTGCTCGATACAAAACTACAAACTACACACACTGGACTTTAACTCAACGACTTCTGTGAGATAAGAAGAATGCATTGGTATCAAGCATTATGGTTTGACAGTTAACGTTACGCCCCCTTTAGGCCCAGCTATAAAAAGCATCATGGACTAGGAGTCATTGTTTCTCATCACAGAAAGCCCCTTAAAGTGGACCTATCATGCTATATTATAATAATATAGTGTAGGACCATACCTATATAAGGCATATTTATACTTTTTTTTTTTCAAAATACCAAACAGATCATGCATTTTAGCCATGCCTCATTTTGCTCAATTTGACATTTTTTAGATCTGTTTCTGCAAGGGCTGATTCTGTGAGAACAGCACCACCTACTGGCCTGGCATATGTACTACATCGTCTCCAGCGCTTTCGAACGGCAATGGCCGTGGCTGTCTCCTCCTGATTGGTGGAGTTGGCCCAATAGCCGTAGCTCCACCGTCCTGACGTCAGGACAGTGTTCAAATCTGGATCAGTTTTTATCAGATCCGTTGCAGCCCCTTTTTTAGAGATTTGGATATGGAGGAAAATAGAGAGGGTTGTGTTTTCTGACACTTGGTGAGTTCCCTGGAACACCGGGGACACATATTCATGTATAAAAGACGTACAAAAGTGCATTTTGCATGATAGGTCCCCTTTAAAGAACACAGCAAACGTTTCCCAAATATTCTCCAAGATTGATATTTGGATGGCTTTCGTTTTGTTGAGTTGAATACAATCGGGCAACGTTACTGCAGCTGTCATATATGTTGATTGATTTGAGCAGATAGAAGCAGACACAGAAGCGCTGACTGTCTCACTTACCTCTTATTGGTTTCATATGTAATTCCAACGTCATCATTACTTATATTACTAATATTGCACCCAAACATGTCATTACACACAGTGTTGTTGAATCAGTCTTACAGCATGATCACACAGGATTTAAAAGCAAATCATGATCAGCTTTGAGTGAAAGGTATCAAATTAAAGACTGTGAAAGCTTCATGTATGACAGACACAATCTAGCAGTACTCCCAAACTAAACTTAAATATGGTTTATTCTCATGAGTGAAAGACATGCTGCGTTCTGCATTTATTTCAATGACTCCTGTGGGATTGCATACTTGTAAGACTGTCAGCCACTGGAACATATTACACATCACACACACACTTCACATGGAGTCCGCAAAGGTCTATTTCATGCCATTTCATACTCTTAGAAAACGCTTCATGCTTCCTAGGAAAACATGGCCTCAGCACTGCTGCAGATTGGATTAATTATTTTTTTAAAAGACACATTTTTTTTAGAAAGAAAATAAAAGATCATATTAAGACATTTATTACCAAATGTTGCCCTTTTTTAAGACTAAGGACTTCAGTGCTTTTAAGAATTGTTTAAGGATGCACTGGATCTATTCCTAAGGTATCATGTGATTACTTTGCTTCACAGAAGGTGTTTTAAAGTAACATCTTTTTTTACACCATTATCACTATTATGTTATTTACCAGTTTTATAGTAGGTTTCATCGTTATATATATATATATTTTTTTAATGCATCTCGTGCATTTCTTTACAGCAGATTTTCACATCACATCACAACCCACCAAATTAACTGATTGGTTGTTTAAGTCACCGTACAGTACTCACAGTATATGACTGCACCAATCTCACCATGTTCAAATCACAAATCAAAACATGTCTTTTCTGCTTTTAATCTGTAATTAATGTTGTTTTTAATCATGTTTTTATGAATTTTTACTCTGTAAAGTGTCTGAGTTTCTTGAAAAGCGCTCCAAAAATATATTATTTTTATTAGGATACTGGTATAGCTTATCTCAAAAGTAAGAGTTTTTTGATACTGCATGCAGCCTCTGTAAGGCTTTGGGATTATACACTAACATACGGCAGCCCAACAGGACACGTCACAGCACAGAGCATTACATTAACACACACACACACACTAACACTGCCCCCTGTTCATGGGGAGAGAGCATGGGGAGAGAGGGAGGGGCAAAGAAAAGGAGTTAGCATGCAACGACTACCAAAGCAAGCAGAGGATGCGGCCATGCGAGAGGAGAGGAGAGGAGAGGAGCAGGCGTCACCTTGGTCAGCAGGTGGGAGGGCTTCCCTGCTATGTTTCTCAGAATCAGAGAGGTTTCCCTGTCCAGATAGGAGTGCTTTAAAGAGAGAGGCAGAGAGAGTCCTGGTGAGTTAGTCTGCTGTGTGATTGGCTGGAGGTGGCAGTTTAGCAGAAAGCTGTGTGGTGAGGAAGCAGAGACAGAAACCTGTGAAATCAAGCTGCACATAGTAAACAAATCACAGTCAGGATATACGGGTCCTTCTTTAGCAACACACTCACGGACGGTGTCAGGCTTTCCAGGCCCAATTCCCTCAAATTCAAGGAGTAAAATATGAGTATGTATGTCATTTTATAAAAGTAACTAGCAGGCTGTTCAGTATATAACAGAAGACGAACATCAAAAGAACATACATTTCTGTTCTTGCACAACATATAGAAGTTCAAGCACGTTCAATGACCAAAATCTACTTTTAGAACAGATTTTTCCCCCAAAATGTAACATAATTTCAAGGATTTTAAGGACCTCTACCATCTTTACTCTGGACCACAAACTATAATGGAAAAGAGCCCCATTTCTGTGAACAATAAAGGTTAAATAATTCAAATAGAAACTTAGATCTAGTACTACTTGAGGTTTAACCGATGTAGAAGGAAAGGACAGCGTGTTAACTCCACGCAGACGGAAACCAGACAGATTTGTATTTATTTATTTACTGAATTATTGATTATATAACTTTTATTTTCAGACAATGTGAATTCCACAGGCACGGGACCAATCTGTGGCTCAGTGGGCTTTATGTAATCCCACAAACATGCACAAGCCTCAGTGCAGCGACTCACTGCTTCCCTCTGAGGGTGGTCTCACTCACTGACTGGGATCATACAGAGACACACTGGGTCTACTGGTTTACTGGAGATAAGGAGAGGAGAGGAGAGTTAAAGAGAGGAGAGGAGAGTAAAGGAGAGTTAAGGAGAGTAAAGGAGAGGAAAGGAGAGGAGAGGAGAGTTAAGAGAGGAGAGGAGAGTAAAGGAGAGTTAAGGAGAGTAAAGGAGAGTAGAGGAGAGGAAAGGAGAGTTAAGGAGAGGAGAGGAGGGTAAAGGAGAGGAGAGTAAAGGAGAGGAGAGGAGAGTTAAGGAGAGGAAAGGAGAGGAGAGGAGAGTTAAGGAGAGGAAAGGAGAGGAGAGGAGAGTAAAGGAGAGTTAAGAAGAGGAGAGTAAAGGAGAGTTAAGGAGAGGAGAGGAGAGCAAAGGAGAGTAAAGGAGAGGAGAGTAAAGGAGAGTTAAGGAGAGGAGAGGAGAGGAGAGTAAAGGAGAGTTAAGGAGAGGAGAGTAAAGGAGAGTTAAGGAGAGGAGAGGAGAGCAAAGGAGAGTAAAGGAGAGGAGAGTAAAGGAGAGTTAAGGAGAGGAGAGTTAAGGAGAGGAAAGGAAAGGAGAGGAGAGGAGAGGAGAGTAAAGGAGAGTTAAGGAGAGGAGAGTAAAGGAGAGTTAAGGAGAGGAGAGTTAAGGAGAGGAAAGGAAAGGAGAGGAGAGGAGAGTAAAGGAGAGTTAAGGAGAGGAGAGTAAAGGAGAGTTAAGGAGAGTTAAGGAGAGGGTGGTCAAAAGTCAGAAATATTTTTCATTTAATGTCAGACAACCTTGGTACAATTCCATTTAGCTTTTCTGATCTGATTATTATTTTTAAAATATTTTTGTAACAACTATTGTATTTAATATTATCTAATGTTGTTCCAATGAGAGATAGTGTTGACATCTGATATAAATGATATTAATGGAGATATACATTTTAAATATATTAATACGTTTATGTTCTTATCTATATTAATCTCATGACTGTGTGTGTGTGTGTGTGTGTTTCAATCACTCGAAACCATTTTATAAAAAGCATTAGTTCTCTCTTGATAACCACAGATTAAAAAATAATATTTAGGTCACACACACACACACACACACACACACACACACACACACACACACACACACACACACACACACACACACACACACACACACACACACACACACACACACACACACACACACACACACACACACACACACCACACACACACACACACACACACACACACACACACACACACACACACACACACACACACACACACACACACACACACACACACACACACACACACACACACACACACACACACACACACTAATTGAATTGAATGTATTGTTGTGAGAGACAGGGTTGAATCACATCAGTGACTTTTGGTCTCTTCATCTCTCGCTCCTTGCTTTTATGTTGAAAGGCAAATTGTGTAATAGCCCTCCATTGTGGCCCAAAACTCATCACATCCTACGACATCACTCTTCTGACAATTTAAACTTTCTCCAAACAGTTCATGTTAGTTCTCGTGCCCTTAATAGACACAGAGTGAGGTTTCTAACGAGCTGGGCTCATGGGAGCGTCGCTCGGGGCAGAATCACTACAACACATCCTCTAATCCCCCCATTTATTTAGCTATTCTCCCTGTTCCTCTTCCTCTCTGTTTTAATCTGAGTCACTCTGAGCCTCTCTCCGTGTTCATCTCCTTCCCTTGTTCCCTTATCATCCTCGGCGGTTTGCTGACTCACTCTGGCCTCTCATCGGCTCATTATTCTAATGTTATTCATTCCTTCGCTGTGTGTGTGTTTGCGCTGGATGGATTTGGAGCAGTGTCCCTGTTTGCTTCTCTCCGAGCAGGGTTTGTGTTGAGAAACATTAACATCAGCAGGGCTGGAGTTTAAATGCCCTCAGCCGCCACTAAGGTCAGACAAAAACAAATGGATTGAGGTAAAAATGCTCAAGGAAGGCCTTTTAAATTTGGAAAAGCCATGCTTCTGTTATGAGCACAATTTCTTGCTTGCACAGTTGCGAATTGTTCACATGTGACTACGCAGGAGATTCGTAGGAGATAATGACCAGGCTTATCTTCACAGTGTATTCTAGGACAATTTAGCACTTTTGATTTTAAGAGAGGCGAAGAATCAGCCTGAAGCAGCACACGCAGCCAGCAGGAGGAGAAAAGGCCAACAAACACAAACCACTGCTTCAGACAGAAAACACTTACGGCCCGTCCACACAGCGGCGTGCGTTGAAGCTTGCCGGCGGGCGTGTCTGAAACTCGACCAACAACCAATCACATGAATCTCCCGCCCCTGACACACAAGCAGCGGTTTGATTGGCTAGAGCTTGTGCTGGCATATGATTCGATTGGCTGACGCTTCTGCCGAGGCTTCAAAAGTTGAACATTGCTCAACTTTTGCAGCTAGACACGCCAGCAAAGCTCCGCTTCGCTTCCCACAATGCAGTTCGGCGAAAAGTGACGTCACCCCATTCAAAGTGAATGGTGAAGCTTTCAACGCACGCCGCTGTGTGGACGGGCCGTTACACACCTACAGGATAAACAAATCAAGAGGGAGGAATTCTGTTGGAGAGGACCTGTTCCTGACCTGTAGCTATGGGAAGGGAAACAACAGGACTGCTTACCAATAACATGTCTTCACTGGTTTTTAACACCTAAAAAGACAGTAGATTTATTTTTGGACATCTTTAGTTGGTCTTAATAAGGCCATGTGTAAAAACCGCATATTCTGAATGTACTGTATACTTGTTCAATGAATGCTCCTCAAACCTGAATAACATCAGATTATCACTTAACATTAGAATAAGGCCTTATTTGGAATATGCTTTTACTTGGCCCCTATCAAATGTGGAATATTGTCACATTGAGAATAATAATGCACTATTAATGTGCATGTAAACATAGTCGCTGATGTAAATAGAGTGGACAGAATATCTCCTGTCAGTGTACTAAATGTTCATTTGCTTGTTGAAGACGTTTTTTAATTGACTTCCAACATGGTGCTTATTTTTCGTAGAGTACAGTAGTGCAACAAATTAGTCCGAAACCAAGATGTGAGTCAGCATTTGAACACCATCTCTTGTTGGAGTTTCTTTGAACATGTTTTTGGTCAGAAGCTCGACATAAGGTCTGTTGTTAACGGAGATTTTAACGTGTTGTTCTATATCATAAAATACGTCTCACTTCTGGATCAGCCTACAGAAATACCTCATCACTCCCCCACTCTGTAAGTTGCATTTGAACTTCTCTCAGTGATTGTGCTGTTATGTTAAATGTTTGTTGTTTGATTTCCATGTATTGTGTCTTGATATTTGTCCATGTTGAAGTTACACATGGAGCTGCTGTGATACTTTTCAGACTTGATCTGACTATTAAAGTATTATCGTATCGTATCGTATCGTTAATCCTAAAGTCATGTTGTGGTCTCTGTACCTCTGTGTTGTGATGCACCTGAGCGGCCCCCTCCCCCGCAGGTAGCACTGAGGGAGGCTGTCCGTCTGCGTCTGAGCACAGCACGCTGTCCAGAGAGTCCATGGAGGAAGCCGAGTTCACCGAGACCCCCGAGGCCGAGGTGACGGAGGAGCGCGACGAGTGGACGATCGAACGCGCCTACAAGAGAAATTAAGGATTAAAAACGGCTTTCAAAAACATTTGGAAAATGATTATCACTCTAAGAGCTCTGTGCTCACTAAGTGCCCCGAAAAACATTCCTGTTGTCATCTTACAATCTACTTATTTATATGAATAGTTATCACCGCAATATACCGTATTTAATTTTGTCTTAATGTACATTATTTAATTTCATATTCTGTTCTTGTACATATCCCATATCCCATATTCTATTGACATTGACTTTTTGCACTACTTTTTATTTTGTATTTTATTATATATGTTGCATTGTTGGAGGAGCTCAGGTCAGAAGAATTTCATTGCCATGTCTACACCGTAGCTTTGTGCATATGACAATAAAACCTTTGAATTGAACATTGAATTGAAGAATCTGTTGTTTATTTAGTTATTACAACAATTTCACTTTTTTAATCTTTACTTTAAGCACCTTTCATATTATATCTAAAACATTAGAAATGATTGTATCTTCTTTTGACTGTTGAAAAAAAAATATCAAACATACATTTTTGGGGATTTTCTGAGTTGTATTTTATTCCTAACTTGTAAGAGAGCGTAGGTTACCTCGTGTTCGCTGACGGTGCCGACGGATCCGGTGCGGCGGTGTTGGCGCTGAGAGGATCCGGGTCGCCGCATGGTGGCGGAGGACGTGTAGGAGGAGGCGGAGCTTAGAGAGTGAGAGGAGGTCTGAAGAGCAGCTTCATCCATACTGAGAGACGCCTGAGGAAGAGGAGAGGAGATGAAGGTCGGGTCAGGTCTAAAATTCAAATCTTATTTTATCCAGTCAAAGGCCCTCTACCTAAATATTTAAATATGTAAGAGGAACATTTTCTGACAAACCTTTACCACCATGTCTTTTGTGTATCATGTTGTCAATCATTTCAACACACTTTAAAAAAAATGTTATCATGAAAACCTGAAATACTTATATACTAATATATGTCATTAATTATTATTGAGTGTTGTTAATTATTATTGAGTGTTCTTGTATTTTGAATGTGTTATTTTATACCTCGGGACTGTGGGAAACAGTATTTCGACAATAAAGTTGACTTTGACTTTGACTGACTTTGATGTCTGTTTTCGAATGCTTTAGATATAAAATAAGAGAGGGGCAAAGTAAAAATGAAAAACAGGACTAATTGTTGTTATTACAAAATAAGCAACAGTGAATTTTTTTTTCTCCAAATCAGATGTTTTTGATAGCATGCAGTTTTTTTTTTTTTTTTTTGCATTATCTATGTTGAATGTCAGGAATGTTATTGAGTAAACACCGGTGTTTTGAAACCTAACATTGATCGAAACAGCTAGACAAGCAATAGGTGTGATGGAAACTTCTGAAGCAATGGAGACGAAGCTCAGATACCCCATTCACACCAACGGTGTTTCGGGGCCGGTTCGGTGCTGGTGCTTGAAAAGCACCGGGTTTTCCTGTTCACACCGCAGCGGAGCAGCCTCTAAGCTCCGGAATCCGGTTCGTTTCGAGCACCAAAAAGTTGTCCGTCTAGAAGCAAGAACCGCATACGTCACGCTTACGTCGGAGGGGGGCGAGATTAACCTGAGCTAACAGTTAAGGCGAGTACGGCAAATAAAAGTTGTAACAAGCAGTAGTGCTGAGCAAAGTGACTAGAACGCAACCACACACTTTATAAAGTCAGGCAACACTAACCAGGCTTCGTGTGATTCTGTTTATTTGTACCTTACTTTGACCATCCGTTCGCTGTTATTGATCATTGTGGAGAGCAGGCAGACGTTTTGTTTGTTATTATAGCAGCTATCGGATGGAATCAATACATGGGCTGTACAGGTTGTCATGTCCGACTATCACAAGTAGAATCATAATGAAAAATACGCCGGTAAAATGTGCCTGGAGAAAACGGCTTAGCAAGTAGTCAGTTTAGCTTCGGTTGCTATGCTAACATCACCCATGTTATACCAGATAAACTTTCATAACAGCGTTGTGATGCCAAACAGCGTCAATTCAGACTGACACACATTCACTTAAGGGGAACTGGGGATATGTATCAGCTGCTTGTGTGACAGTCAGACAGTGAATACTTTAGAGCCGTGTGAGCTAACCCGGAGCTAACGGGAGAATAAACTCCCGTTGAAGAGCAGCAGCACTGCAGCGGTCGGTAAATGCCGCTGAAACACATTAATAAACAATGAACCACGGCACTCTGGAGAAAAGTATAAGGTTGGAGAAGTCGTTATTTAATTTAATCTGGCTTCGTATGATTAAAAGCAACGCAGTCCCCGGCCCGTTGTTGTTGTGAGGTGAGCTCCGTTGGGGAGAAAATCAGCGACGTAAACTGTGACGTCATGACGCAGCAGCGGCAGCACCAGTCGGGCTCTGAGCGGTGTGAAAAGAGCCGGAGCTAAACCGAAGTACCGGTTCTGAACCTGAAAAGCTCTAGCACGGAGCTTGAACCGGAGTTGCGTTGGTGTGAAAGGGGTAAGAGAGACATGGAGAGAGCAGGAACTTTGATGGCAAACACTGATGGTTTATTTGGAGCTTCGGCCGGAGAATTCACAAGAAATGTTCAGAAGAGCTCTACCCCAGACACATGTATTTAGCTGGTTCTGAGAGAATAATCAACATTGTGCATAACAAGATAAAACCATAACACCTCTATCAGCTGACGCCAACAGGCAGGAACAGGGAGACAAAACACTGAGAGCACAGCAGCCAAGGCTACAGGTGCCTGAGCTCAGTGAGGTCATTACAAACTGATAAACTGGGTCACAGTTATGGGCCTTGGAAAATACTTCCACAACAATAGGGAGCAACATCTGCACAGTTAAACATATTTAAACCAAACATTTTAAAGAAATTACTGACAATTAGGGACATCTGAGTGAAACTCTCACACACACCTTCTCCAGCTGGGCGGTGATGTCGTCCAGGCTGAAGTTGGAGGCGAGCGCTGGTCTCCCATGATGCCCGGCGGCGGCTCTGATGGTGCCTGCAGGCGACGCTCTGGTGCTGCTGCTGTTGCTGCTCGCCCCGCTGCTGCCCCCCCCACCACTCACACTGTTACTGCTGCTGCCCCCCCCACCACTGACACTGTTACTGCTGCTGCCCCCCCCACCACTAACACTGTTACTGCCCCCTGCTGGCTGCTGACCCCTGCTGCGCCCTGCTGGAGGCTTCTGCCGGACCTGGGGAGGAACGAGGATGTGTTGTATTGACTCAGAGAGAATCAGCAGGTAATCAAAACTCATACAACAGCTCGTACTCGCTCAAAACACATGATATAACCACTATGGCAACTGGTAGACGACCATACAATACAGACTGTGCCATCTTGTGCAATAAACCAGATCAAAAAATGTTGTGATGATTCTGCAGAGATGTGTGAAGGTGTGTACCTTGGTGTCGGTCAGTGTGTATTGTATTGACTCAGAGAGAATCAGCAGATCACACAGTTGCAAATAATCAAAACTCATACTACTACAAGAGTTAGTACTCCCAAAAAACGTATGATATAACCACCATTGCCCCTGGCAGACCACCGCACAATACAGACTGTGCCATCTTGTGCAATAAACCAGATAGACATGTTGTGATGATTCTCTATGGATATGTGAAGGTGTGTACCTTAGCGTCAGTCATCCCGAGGCGAGCCATGCCTCCGCTGCTGTTGGGTTTGGTGTTGATGGTGCTGAGTTCCTGTTCGATGGAGCAAAGATCGGCCATGAGGGCGTCCAGGTCCACGTTCTCGCCCTGATTCAACGCCTCTGCAGACACACACACACACAGCAGCATGTGAGACACAGGGACACCAAAAAAAACCCCATCTGTTTTCTTTTTTATTACTGCCGAATTTTATTCCATATTTTATTCCATTCTATTTCTATGTAAATACTGCTATATTTTACTATATTTTATTTATTATTTTTATTATTTTTTAATGTTATTATATTTTTCCTAAAATAGTTCTCTATCTGTGTTTTTTAATTTAATTAATTTCATTTTTATTTTTATGTATGCACCATGACATCAAGTCAAATTCCTCGTACGTGTCAACCTACCTGGTGATAAACCTCTTTCTGATTCTGATTCAAAACTGAGCGGTAGAGGACGGAATAGAAAAAAAACACGCCAGTAGGAAAGACGAACGTAATAAATCACAGAAGGGGAAATAAATAGTTAAGAACAATGGCGTAAAAAGCTACAAAGTGCTTTAAAAAAACTCAAATAAACTGCATATTGCACTTGAGACTGTAGGTTTAACCGCAGGGGGTCAAGGGGTCAAAGAGTCGTACCGTTGATGTTGTAGATGGAGAATCTGTAGGAGAAGTTGGCCATGTTGGTCTCCTGTCTGAGGGGGGCTTTCTGTTGGGGGGGCTCCTCCGGGCGGCCGTCATCCAGACTCTGAATACACACAATATTACACATTTTGTATCCCAATAAACGACCGTACAGTATCTCATGTGTTCCATGCAGATTAACCTCTGGACCTCTCTTACTTTGTGTACCTGGGTGAGTTTGTCCAGCTCCCCGAGCCAGGCTCCAAACATCTTGTCCAGGTCCTGGTCCTCCTTATCGCTGTCCTCCTCTTCATCATCCTCCCTGACCTCCACCTCCTCGTCTGACAGCTGATCCATCTGAAGAGAGGAGGAGAAAAGATGAGAAAACAGAAAGAAACAAGAGACACTAGTGTCTTCTTCTGCACTTTCACTTTTATCCTTCAGCTCCATCTAGTGGCCAACCTCATATCTGAGTCTCCTCCATCATACCTCCATCATTACACGCCGTGAGAGAAGTGCTCAGATATTTTACTTAAAGAGTCCTTATTATGGTTTTTGAAATGCTCCCTTTCCTGTAGTGTGTTACATATGTTTTTGTGCATGTACATTACATTACATTACACTTGTTAGACGCTTTTATCCAAAGCGACTTACATACCCAGTACTGTGGGCAATCCCCACAGGAGCAATTTGGGGTGAAGTGTCTTGCCCAGGGACACAACGACATGCTGACTGCAGTGTGGTTTGAACCTGATCCGAACACCAACGCACTACCCACTGCGCCACACACCCCCCTAAACGGTCTGCAAAGGCTAAAATCCCTAAAATAGTGACATCACTATGTTACACTTCCACTCCTATTGGCTAGCGCTCCAACACATTGCACGTGATAGGCTAAGGGGTGGGACATCTCTAAGCTGTTGACCAATCACAACAGAGCCGGCCAGCTAACCAATCAGAGCAGACTGGGCTCTGGTTTCAGACAGAGGGTGAAAAAAGGTGCTGCAGCACAGGCAGTACGAGAAAAATAAAGAGCTTTTTGAACATTAAAGCATGGAGACATGTCACAGGAGAGAAACAAAGACAATATGAACCTGAAAATGAGCCTAATATGACCTCTTTAAAGGTCACATCGCCCTGACAACACTGGGACAAACTACCCCCTAAAACACTTCAACCACAGGTTTCAGACGCCCACATAAGAAGCCCTCTTTAAGGCTTTCTAAATCTACTTGGCACACATTTGAAAGCTGTAATAAAAATTCAAAGATGACAATAAATGCCTGTTTGTTACAGACCACAGCTGGTTAAAGCTCTTCAAATGAAATTGAATGAATGGACAGAATCAGGAAATGACTGCAGGGATTTAACAGAGACAGAAAGCAGCTGTGTTTAGTAAATCAGACGCAGATTGAACTGTTATCCTTGAAAAGTCACATGACCTATTAAGGCATGTAACTCAAGTTAATGTTGTTTTGGGACATTTTAAGTACTTGTTAGAAGCGCTATAGAAGAGACAGGGACAGAAACAAGAGCTGAGCAACAACATGGGGATATTACTCCATCCATATAATCATATTAACATGTTCTTTATAGCTTACAAAGTGCTTTAAATAGATCAAAACAAACAATGACACCCAGTGAAAATACCCAGTGAATTTACAAGTTAGGATACAATTCAGTGCAGCCAAGAATTAGAAACCGATAAAAGACAATGAATACAATTCTCGAAAACTAAATCAATAATTAAGAAAAGCCCCTTAAGGAAATATGTACAACTACCTAAAATATGTTATAAAATCCATGTTGAGCTGACCTCTTTTACAACAAATACAACATGAAGTTTACAGAGTGCATTTATTCCCTCGGGAGGTTCACTTCTGAGACGAGTGGATGTTTTTTAGACGTCTTTTTGTCTTTGCGTCATTCTGCATATTTCTTACATGTTAACGCCATGCTAGTTGTTGCCCTTCATAAGCAACATGAAGAAAACATATATTATTCATCAATTTTTTCCAGTTGCTAATAAATAAAACTTAAAGGTGGGGTAGGTAATTTTGGAGAAACCGGCTCGAGATCGCTAGAATTTGAAAATACACAACCGGAGAAAATCTGCCACTTCCTTACAGAGCCCCTCCTCCAACACACACGAACGCGCACATGACCAATCAGGGCACGAGATAAGTTTGTGCACAGATGGAAGGCTGACAGGCAGGTAGGCCATCCAGTTATTTTAGCCGGGCCGGCTCAGATGATTGGTCGTGCTTTTTACAGTATTACGGCTTCCACAGATGATATTTTTTTATGGATTTTTTGTCAAAGCACTTAAGATATTCATTGCTATCGGGATGTTAAGAGCATTCCATGGAATATAACAAAACGTGTATCTCGAGCCGGTTTCTCAAACTTACCTACCCTACCTTTAAGCGATGTGTTAAATTGTCACTGCTGTTTAAATGTGTTTTTTTTTTTTTCCATGAAAGTTGTTTGAAAATGTATTCAACCTGTTTGGACAGAAAGGGATGCAAAATGAATTTCAGTGTAAATTGCCAATAATGTTGTATCATAAAAATGTTTGCCTTTGTTTTTAGAAATCCTGATGTCAAACGTCTTCTTGACTTGTAACAGGAAGACATTGTTTTGATGCATAGTTTCAAATATGAACCATAATAACCATAAACATGATTTATAACAGGAGATTACAAGAAGTGGGACATTCAGGGGGAAGGGTTATGAGAGATTGAGACAGAGTGTGTGTGTGTGTGTGTGTGTGTGTGTGTGTGTGTGTGTGTGTGTGTGTGTGTGTGTGTGTGTGTGTGTGTGTGTTCCACAGTTTATGTAACTATATTGAGAACAAGTCAACACACTTTTGGATTGAGTGTTGCTGTGATTGATGATAGCAATTATGTTTCTCACTGACACACACACACACACACACACACACACACACACACACACACACACAGTTATGAAAATAAATGGTGGATGAAGCTGATGAGAGACACACATCAGCAGTCACATTATGCTCTGTGTTGACAACCAGTAGCAAACAGTTTTCCCTCTGCTCATGATGAAATATGAAATGTGTTTCAATTTATCAAACCAAAAACTTCAGTAATGGATTTATAAACTTGCAAACAATCCGCAAGCTGATTTGACACTGTGAATAAATAATGTTTAGCATGGTTGCTATGATCCAGTAAAAAATGGAAATGAGTTCCCTAGCTCTCTCCTCCACACCTCCTCCCTCCTTTCCTCATCACAACTCAATCCCTCCATTTCTTAACTCGGCCACCTTCCTCCCTCGTGCTCTAGATTTCTCCTCACCTCCTCCCTCTCCTCCAGATCTCCACCCAGGCGAACCCAGATTATTGCCCCTGGCAGAGCATGCTATTCCTGGGTAACCGTTTTGTCGTCCAGCCCCCCCCCACAACCCTGTCCCCCTCTAGGGAGAGACAACACACACACACACACACACACACACACACACACACACACACACACACACACACACACACACACACACACACACACACACACACACACACACACACACACACACACACACACACACACACACACACACACACACACACACACACACACACACACACACACACCACACACACACACACACACACACACACACACACACACACACACACACACACACACACACACACACACACACACACACACACACACACACACACACACACACACACACACACACACACACACACACACACACACACACACACACACACAGAGGAGCGGCGCTACAATTAGATCCCTGTGGTTAGCAAGGTCTGTCATTTAGATTGGAGGATAGGGCGGGTTTGTGTGTGTGTGTGTGTGCGTGTGGTTGGGGATTAGAGGAGGAGCGTTGTGAGAACTCTCACAGCTGCACAACAACAGACGCAGGCCAACAAATGAAGCGTTTTCCTTCGCAGGCGGAATCTAAAGGAGGAAATTCTCTTCACGTTGATTCTCTGAGCTCCACTTCCTGCTCGGATGGAGCTTTATCTCTGAGACAAAACCTGCTGCCAGCGCAGATCTGCTTCAGAACACATGCATTGAGAAAACTGTCATGAAATGTTGATGCATTTTTCAGCTCCACAATGAAGAGTATTCATTATTTATCATCCTTCAAGATGTGGATATTTATCAAGAATGGTTCACAGTGTCCACGTCTGTATCAATGCTGAAGTTCAGCTTGGCAAAATCACACCATGAAAGCTAAGCACAAAGGCTCGAATGAATAGATCAGAACTCCTTAAACGCAGATCTGAGTGGTTTTACTTCTGGTTGAATTCCCTAAATAAGATTTTCGGTAAATCAAAAGCAAAAGAGATTTCCTCATCTTGTTCTACAACCTTTACATTCTCGTGTTTATACTCTCACAAACTAACTGAAACCTTCCACCTTGCAGATCCATCTATTTTCCACTCCCGAGACCCTCCCAGATGACTGAACTTCTCACCCTAGCCCTGAGGGGGATGCCAGCCACCCTCCGGAGGAAAACACATTTCGCTTGCAGATTTAATGATTTCAAGCAGGGGTGTCAAACCCAAATACACAGTGGGCCAAAATTAAAAAATGGGTACTAGTCGAGGGCCGGACTGGTTCAATGTTTATTGCAGAACTTATTGAAATGAACTTATTGCACATATTAAACCTGGAACTAACAAAGCTTCAATGATTGCCTATAAAAACAACATTAAACATTAAATAATCAGTTGCATTCATTTCTTATGGCTCTATCTGCAGCTTTTCCGGAGTCATTTCTTATGATTACATTTTTCCACAGGCCAACAACAGCTTCAAAAAAACAATTTCCCTCAAAGAAAAAACCAAACATGCCCTGTTGTCGTGAGAGAAAAAGTGCAGAAGGAAACATCCATGTAAACTCAGTTTGCTGCTGTGATGCTAGTTCAAGCCAGATACTTGGCATCTCATCTTGGGTGCAAGTTCATCAATGTTTGGGGTCAGGCTCTGAGCGGGCTGAAATTAAATCCACCACGGGCCGGATTTGGCCCCCGGGCCTTGAGTTTCACATGTGTGATTTAAAGTATTTAGCAATTGTAGTTTTTGTTTAATTGTGGAAAATCCGTTTAAAAAGCCAAACCTTAAAGGTTGTGGCATGCAACCATGTAGTTTGTTTATAGCTATAACGTTAGCTTTTTACTTTCATGATAAAACTGGTGTGCATTTGTGGAGATCACATTTTAAACAACTCAAGGTCAGAACAACTCTGAGAAGTATGAGTAGAACAATCTGTGGGGTGATTTTATGGAATGGTTTGGAGCAGGAGTTAAAACAAAGCACAAGCATAATTCAGTTTAAAAGGATGTACA